CACACCCTCTTCCAACTTTCTGACCAGATGTAGTCAGCCCCATCTGTCTACAAGCATGTCAGGATTCAAGGAGCTTGGGAAAGCTCAGATCTTTCTAAACTTTCTGACCTGTGATCCTCCCAGGAAAATGCTCCCAGTCTCTGATTTTTTACAAAATTGTCAGGCAAAGAATGGCACATGTAGACCCAGCTGCTATTTGGCAGATCTGGGCTCAGATATTCCAGGCTCAGCCATGTTGTAGTCTCAAGATCTCAATGCCATTCTAACATGCAATATGACCAGGGATGAACTCACAGAAAGGAGGGACCCTGTGAGGAAGCAGCAAGATGATGGCCAATAGCACTCCTAGCAGGAAGACTTCAGGTGCAGCTAAACCTGCAGGCACTCTGACCCTAGATGTCTGTCCCCAGACAGAGTTGGCTGTGCCCTGAGATGGCAGTGGCATCACAACTGCGGGCACTCTGGCCCCCCAGGTCCTGGCTAGTGTCCCAAGATGGAGGCAGCCACATGCAACCAAATCTGCAGGCACCCTATCAGTGGACCTCTGGGTGGTGGCAGCAGCAGTGATGGTTTGAACCAAAGAATTATAAACAGACAAATGATTTTGGACTGTGAAAGTTAAGACCAACATATATAAATGTGGAATAATAAGAGGAATATTTTTCAAAGGGTTTGTCCTGGGGACTCTGATTATTGAAATTGACCATTAAATATAGTGTTACTTTTATAACTAGAAATAGATTAAGTTAAGCACATGAAAAGTCTTTAGTATCATTAATCCTTAAAGAAAGGTAAATTAAAACTCCAATGAGATACTAGTTTACACACACTACAATGGCTAAAAGTACAAAGATAGGCATAACAAATATTGACCAGAACATGAAACAGTGAAAACTGTCATACACTGCTGGCACAATCATGTTGTAGTATAATTTAGTAGTTTCATAAACAATTAAGCATACACATATCATATGTTGACACTGATATTCTATTTCTACATAATGAAAGATAATGAGGACAGTCCACAAAAAGACTTGCACACAAATGTTCATAGCCACTCTATTTGTAATAGTGGAAATACTGGAAATTGCTCAAAAGTACATTACAGTTGAATAATACAACAAATTCATCATATTGTGTGGCATATCAATACAATGAAACACTATTCTGCTGTACATATTACAGCAAAGATGAACCCCAAAATAATTATTCCAGATGGAGGAAGTCAAATAAAAACAAATATGTACTTTGTGATTTCATTCATATAAAATTCTACAAAATATATATTAATCTCTATATCAAAAAGCATATCAAATATTTGCCTGAGGATAGAGGCAGGAAAATAGTGAGGATGAGTTATCAAGGAGTATTTAGAAAAAAAAATGGAATTAAGGAATGTCTATTGTAATTATGGTTTAGAGGATATATAGGTATGTCAAGCACCATAAAATTTTTCACCTTAAATATGTATAATATGTTGTACATCAATCAAACATCAATAAATTTGTACAAAGGATAAAAAGAAAAGAAAATAATATAAAATGGTTTTATGCTGTCTCTCTAGATATCAAAAAGAGAATGAAAGGGGCATATACATGTTCTTTGTATTTCTATTAGCATTTTGAACACATCTTCTCATTATCTTCTGTTGTCCATTATTTTCTATAATTAAAGCAATGGTAACAGTGTAGTTTCATTTTATGTGATGAGTCTTTCATGAGTCTTTCATTTTTTTTCTGTTTTAATCTTTATTTTTCAACTGTTTAACTATGGAGAGTGAGAAAATGCCTGTTGGTTTTATTTATTTATTCATTCATTCAAAAATGTTGATTTGTTATTTACTAAATCTTAGAGGCTTACATAGGTCCTTGAATTGCTAAAATGATTAAATTATAATTATATAACTATTATAAGATTATAGACCTCATAGTTACTATGGCTTAGTATCTTTTATTCTATCTTCATCACTAGTCACTTTTGAGCCACCATATAAGTTATAAATAGTTGATTATAGTATAAATCCAAGTTTGCAACTTAAACTGAAACTTTATGGGTTCATTATATATAACAGATATTTATATATAATATGTCTTGCATAAACAGGTAATATACTGGTGTCATCAAAGTACATATTAATTTAGAGGAAAAAAACTTTTGAAAAATTTCAAGGTATTGCCTGAGACATAAGACTTGACTAATGTTTGTACAAAGAAAGAATTAGTAAAGATTTAAAGTGTAATCCAAAAACAGATATGTCTAATAAGACTTTCTGCAATTATAGAAATAGTCTATACCTGTGCTGTCTGATATATTATCTATGTGCTATATGAGAATAGTACCTGGAATGAAGCCAGTGAGATTTTAGAACTGAACATTTAATTTTATTTCTTTAATTTTAATAAATTTAAATGATCACCTCATATTGGATAGTTCAAATCTAGACTACAGAGTCAGGTGTTATATAATGTCCAATAAAGATGTTAAACATGAGTGGGTCTGGAGTCCTACATTTGCGTGCTCACATATATGAAATTCTTCAGTTTAATCCATATCCCTTGCATTTCTCTGTCATTTGGAATAATTTAAAGTGTGAAGAGCTTGACTTAAATACTATGAATTTGCATCCCATATAAATTCAGCATCTATATCTGAGGACACTGAATATTTTAGATAGAGATTTTTTTGAAGTAGGTTTAAGAAAATTAACTTAACACTAAATAGTCAGTGAATTGAGTCTGGGAGACGTGACAATAAAATTACCATTAAGGAGTAAAAATTTGCTCCCAGGATGTAGGCTCTCTATTCACCTTACAGATTGTTTCTTTTGCTGAGAAGAGACTTTTTAGTTTGAATCCATCCCATTTATTGATTCTTGGTTTTAATTCTTGCGATATAGGAGTCTTATTAGGGAAGTTGGGGCCTAATCCCACATGATGAAGATTAGGGTCTACATTTCTCCTATTAGATGCAGAGTATCTGGTTTAATTCTTAGGTCTTTGATCCACTTTGAGTTGAGTTTTGTGCATGGTGAGAGACAGGGGTTTAATTTTATTTTGTTGCATATGGATTTCCAGTTTCCCCAGCACCATTTGTTGAAGAGGCTATCTTTTTTCCAATGCATATTTTTGGCACCTTTGTCTAATATAAGATAATTGTAATTTTGTGGGTTACTCTCTGTGTCCTCTATTCTGTACCATTAGTCTACCAGTCTGTTTGGGTGCCAATACCATGCTGTTTTTGTTACTATTGCTCTGTATTATAATATAAGGTCCAGTATAGTGATGCCACCTGCTTCACTCTTCCTGCTAAGGATTGCTCTTGCTATTCTGGGTCTTTTATTTTTCCAGATAAATTTCATGATTGCTTTTTTTATTTCTATGAGGAATACCATTGGGATTTTTATTGGAATTTCATTAAATCTGTATTGTGCTTTAGGTAGTATGGTCATTTTGATAATATTAATTCTGCCTATCTAAGAGCAAGGTAGATCTTTTCATCTTCTAAGGTCTTCTTTGATTTCTTTCTTTAGGGTTCTGTATTTTTCATTGTATAGATCTTTCTCTTCTTTCTTTAAGTTGATTCCCAAGTATTTTTATTTTATTTTTTTAGGTTATTGTGAATGGGGTAGTTTTCCTCATTTCCCTCTCAAAGGATTTGTCATTGATATACAGAAATGCCTTTGATTTATGGGTGTTGATTTTATATCCTGCTACTTTGCTGAATTCATTTACTAGTTCTAGAAGTTTTCTGGTGGAGATTTTTGGGTCTTCTAGGTATAGAATCACAATGTCAGAAAATTTTACTCCTCAGACATTAGATAGAGCACTAATCTCTGGGGTATATAAAGAACTCAAAAAGCTAAGCACTGAAAAAACAAATAACCCAATCAATAAATGGGCCAAGGACCTGAACAGACACTTCTCAGAAGAGGCTATACAATCAATCAACAAATATATGAAAAAATGTTCATCATCTTTAGCAATTAGAGAAATGCAAATCAAAACTACTCTAAGATATCATTTCACTCCAGTCAGAATGGTAGCTATTATGAAAACAAACAACAATAATATTATTATGAAAACAAACAACAATAATTTTATGGCAAGGATGTGGAGGAAAAGGTACACGCTTGCATTGCTGGTGGGACTGAAAATTGGTGCAGCCAATATGGAAAGCAGTATGGAGATTCCTTGGAAATCTGGGAATGAAACCACCATTTGATCCAGCTATCCCTCTCCTTGGTCTATACCCAAAGGACTTAAAATCAGCATATTACTGGGACACAGCCACATCAATATTTATAGCAGCACAATTCACAATAGCTAAACTGTGGAGCCAACCTAGATGCCCTTCAATGGATGAATGGATAAAAAAATGTGGAATATATACACAATGGAATTTTATTCAGCAATAAAAGAGAACAAAATCATGGCATTTGCAGTTAAATGGATGGCATTGGAGAAGATAATGCTAAGTGAAGTTAGCCAATCCCCCCAAAACAAATGCTGAATGTTTTCTCTGATAGAAGGAGGCTGATTCACAGTGGGGTAGGGAGGGGAAGCATAGGAGGAATAGATGAACTCTAGATAGGGCAGAGGGATAGGAGGGAAAGGGAGTGGGCAGGGGGTTAGCAAGGATGGTGGAATGTGATGAACATCATTATTAAAAGTGCAGGTATAAAGACACAAATTTGTGTCAACATACTTTATGTACAACTAGACATATGAAAAATTGCACTGTATATGTGTAATAAGAATTGTAATGCATTCTGCTGTCATTTATTTTTTTAAAAAAAAATCAATTAAAAATAAAAAAAATAAAATTACCATTTAGTACAATTTTGTAAAGGTTTTGTAAAATTACATTTTACTAAAGTGCTACTAGAAATAACTGAAAACATAAACAAATCTTAAAAATGAATCTCTTGGTCTTTTAGAAATCTACAATGTATGTGGACATAAAAAGAAGGTATTTGGTGATAGAGTTGTTGTCTGCACAGTTTTCACCCTTGATCATCTACTCTTTCCAATTCAAAAACTAAATGCATGAAGTTAAACTTGCTAACCAAATTATGTAATAAGGAAATAGTCTGAAACACTTGAGAGTTTTTCTAATGCTGAGCCACAGATGGGTTGAGAATCACAGATGCAGACAAACTTCAGAGGGATCCATCTCACCTGTGACCTTCACTTCTGTGATGTTCTCTTCAGAGAAATCACCATCTCTGAAGAAGCAGTGGTACTGCCCATCATCATCAACACTGACATTAAAGATCCTGAGGGTCACTTTACCTTCTCCAATGGCATCTTTCAGGAGTTCTGTTCGCTCCACATACCTGGAGGTAGTTTCTCCATACAGGTCTTTACCCTCCTTGTACAGGTAAATGGGTTGTGTGTAGTGGTCACAGAACCAGCAGATCTCCATGTGTTGTGCACTCTGTTGGGGAGACAACTGGCAGCTGAGCTCAACTTCTCCATGAAATGGAGCCAGGATTGGCCCGTTTAAGCCTTTTACCATGAATTTTCTGGGAAGGGAAACAATAACCAAAAGGTGAGAGCATGAGTTAGGACACACCTTCTATTTAAATCATTATCATCTCTCTTCTCTTTTCTCTTCTCTTCTCTTCTTTTCTTTTCTTCCCCCCCCCCTTTCTCTCTCACACACACACACACACACACACATATCCCTTATTGAGAGTCAATTATTTTGTTTGCCCTGAAGACATTTTAACTTAACCCTTGACTTGAGTAGTAGTTCATTAAATTGTTTACCTTAAAAAATACGAAAATACGGCTTCAATTGCTGCTAAATGTTTTATGTCTTTGTTAAGAAAAACTTTAATAGTTGCTTCCTATTTCATTCTATTTGTTCATCCTTTGTAAACCTCTGTCTCAGACTGCTTTTAATATTTGCTGCACTATAATGAATCTGTGTATAAATGTATGCTTTTTTCTGGATAATTTTCATAGGGCTTCTTGAATTGGAAGATTCTTTTTTCAATTCTAGAAAATTCTACTCATTGCATGTTAAATTTTATTTCTCTTATTCTCTATATTCTTTTATAATGTAACTGTCTCAACTGTTTTAGGAATTACCAGGAAGACATCCCAAAGTACCACCGCCTGCTCCTCCAAGATTCATTTTTTTTCTGTAGTTGGACACAATACCTTTATTTTATTATATTTATTATGATTTCTTACATACATGACAATAATGGAGTGCATTACATTCATAATTTTTTTCTTTACAATACTTAATACACCTTTATACCACATTTTATCAAATCTCTGTTTGTATATAAGGTATGTTGACACCAAATTTACATCTTTGTACATGAATTTGTATAATGATGACTGTCTCCTTCCAGTATCCTTGATATTCCCCTTCTCCCTCCCTTTCCCTCCCATCCCTATTCCCCATCTAGAGGTAAATTTCCTCCCATGCTCTCCCTCCCCACCCCAGTTTGAGTCACCCCCCACCATATCAGAGAAAACATTCAGCATTTGTTTTTTGGGGATTGGCTAACTTCACTTAGCATAATCTTCTCTAATGCCATCCATTTCCCTGAAAATGTCATGATCTTATTCTTTTTTAGTGTAGAGTAATATTCCATTGTGTATAAATGCCAATTTTTTTTATCCATTCATCCACTGAAGGACATCTAGGTTGGCTCCACAGTTTAGCTATTGTGAATTGTGCCGCTATAAAGATTAATGTGGCTATGTCCCTGTAGTATGCTGTTTTTAGGTCTTTTGGGTATAGTTCAAGAAAAGGAATAGCTGGATCAAATGGTGGTTCCATTCTCAGCTTTCCAAGGAATCTCCATACTGCTTTCCATATTGGCTCCAATAATAGATGTAATTATTTTTTAATTTATTTCTTAGCAGATTCATTATTGGTATATAGAAAAACTATTTGTTGTTATATATCGATTCAGTATTCTGCTTCTTTTCTGAATTTATTCATCAGGTTTAAATGTCATTTGAACCAATGTTTAGGGTCTTCTAAGTATATGATTGCATCAGCTGCAAATAGGGATAATTTGACTTCTTCCTTTCTTATTATATCCCTTTATTTCTTTCCCTTGCCTAATTGCTCTGGCTCAAATTTCAAGTACTATAGTGAAGAAGAGTGTTGAGAGCAGCTATCCTTATCTCAATCCTGAATTTGAAAAAAAAAATTGCAGTTTTTCTCCATTCATATGATGCTGAGTTTGGTTTTGTCATATATAACCTTTACTATGTTGAGGGAATTTCCTTCTGTACCTACTTTCTTCATGGACTTTATCATGAAGAAATGTTAAATTTCATCAAATGCTTTTTCTGCATCTGTTGAAATGATTATGTGTTTTTTCCTTGATTCTATGTATGTTCTGTACTACATTTATTGATTTGTATACATTGAACCATCCTTGCACTTCTGGAACAAAATCAATTTGATCATGTAATATGTATTTATTGATTTTATTATTTTTTAATTCACAATAACAGTGGAATGCATTACAATTTTTATTACACATATAGAGCACAATTTTTTAATATGTAGTTGAATTTGGTTTGCAAGTATCTCTTTCAGTCAGTTTTGGTAAGTTTTTACAAATTTGTTTATTTTCCCCCCCAAAACCCCAACTATTTATTTCATTGATCATTGTATTGTTCTTTTACTTTCTATTTCATTAATTTTAACTCTGATGTTTATAATTTATTTCATATATCTAGTTTTCGGATTGTGTTATTCTTGTTTTTATAAGTCATTGAGGTGTATCATTAGCTTGTTTCTTTGAGATATCTCTGATTTTTTTTTAAATGTAGGCACTCATATATAACCCTCTCTTCAAACTGCCTTTGCTGTATCCCATAAATTCTGATAATGTTTTGTTAACATTTCAGATTCCAAGAATTTTTAAATCCATCTCCACAGTTTCTTCAATGATCCACTTATCATTCAAAAGTATCTCTTTCTTTTTTTTATTTTTTATTTTTTTAAAATTTTTTTTATTAGTTGCTCAAAACACTACAATGATGTTGACATATCATACATACATTTGATTCAAGTGGGGTATGAATTCTTTTTTTTTCCATGTGTACAGATTGCAGTATCACATTGGTTTTACAGCCACGTTTATACATACAGCCATATTAGTGTCTATTGTATTCTGCTACCCTTCCTATTCCCCCTTTCCCTCCCTTCCCCTCCCATCACCTCTCTCTACCCACTCACTCTATGATACCTCTCTCTCTCTCTCTCTCTCTCTCTCTCTCTCTCTCTCTCTTTCTCTCTTTTCTTCCTCACACCATCTTATATGTAATTTTGCATAACAATGAGGGTCTCCTTCCATCTTCCATGCGATTCCCCTTCTCTCTCCCATTCCCATGCATCTCTCATCCCTATTTAATGGTAATCTTCTTCTCATGCTCTTCCTCCCTGCTCTGTTTTGAGTCGCCCCCCCCTTATATCAAAGAAGACATTCGGCTCTTGCTCCATAGGGATTGGCTAGCTTCATCAAAAGTAACTCTTTAACTGTTCATACATTTGTAAAATTTCTGTGTTTTTTCATTGTTGATTTTTAATTTCATTTCATTCTGATCTGAAAAGATGCAAGAGATTTAACAGCAAAGGTTTGTTTTTTGGCTTAATACATGATCACTTTTGGAGAAAGTTCCATGAGTTTCTGAAAAGAATGTGTATTAAGCTTTTTTCTATTAAATATTTTGTAGATTCTTGTTAAATTTATTTGGGCTATATTAAAGTTTAAATCTGATGTGTCTTTCTTGATTTTGTGCCAGAATGACTTGTTAGTGAGAATGGTGTAGTGAAGTATTCCACTATTATTGTATTGGGACCTGTCAGTCCCTTTGTATCAAGTAATGTTTGTTCTATGAAATTAAGTGCAGTGACATTTGGGGAATAAATCTTTATATTTTTGTTAGATTGTTTCCTTTACCAATGGTTTCCCTTATCAAATGTTTTGACATTGCTTGTCTGTTCTGACTATTTTGGGCATGAAGTCTGCTTTGTCTGTATATGGGATTAGCTAATCCTGCTTGGTTTGGGAGTCCATTTGCATGGGATATCAATTTGCATCCTTTCACTTTTCAGTCTCTAAACATTTTTGCCTATGAGATGTGTTTCTTGGGACAACATACAGTTGGGTCTTGTTTTTCAATTCATTATTCTATTTTATTTCTTTTATCTGGAGAATTAAGACCATTTGAACTTATTATAATGAATTAAGACCATTTGAACTTGTTATTATAGGGGTATGTGCTACCACATGTCATTTTGTTTCATTTCTCATATTTGAATCATTACTATTCCTTATTTGCTTATCTATTTTTCTAATGGGGTTTATTTTTTTCCCTGATGTCTTGGTTATTTTTATCTTCTTCTTCTGTATGTATCTTCTCCCTTAGATCATTCCTTGGAACTTTGATCATTGTTTTTCAATATTGTTTAGTTGTCAATGGATCTGTATTTTATTTATTTATATGTGGTACTGTGGCTCGAACCCAGTGCCTCACACATGCTAGGCAAGCATTCTGCCACTGAGTTGCAACCCCACCCCAGAACTTTAATCATTTTAACAGTCAACTTTTTGAATTTTTCCTGACATTTCTTCTGTTTCATTGTCTATGGGTTCAACTATTGGAAAGTTATAAAATTTTGGAGACTTGTTTCTATATTTCTGTTTTGATATTTGAATATCTGCCGGGCTAGATATATCTTCTACTGTTATGTCACAGACTTTTTTTTTAGTGAGTTGCTTTATTATATGCCCTAGGCTGGGGGTAAATCTCAACATAAAAGCAACTTCTCAACATATTCATGCTACTGTGATCAATCCCTAACCCTTCTTTGAGAAGACATAATAATCTTGAGTAATTGACCATTTGAGAGTAAACCATATGCTAATAATCCATAAAAACTTATAGAAAATGATCTTTGTAGCTCCACTCATCCAAAAGTGAAAATGGGAATAATACTATAGTAGGTTGTAAAGTAGGATATTGAAGAAAGTAAAATTAATATTTAACTTTGCTGAGTAGCTGATCTCTCACTGCTTTTACTCCAGACTGGAGGAGCTGGCATTTGTATAGCCTGCTTTTGATCCACCATCTTGATCTTTCAATCTCTGGAAATTTTTTAAATAAGAGCACTATTTTTAAATAACTACTGGGTATGGAATATATCTACAAAATATTAAAGTTTATGACATAAATACAATCATCTTTTTGAAATCTGAAATTAGTTCATGAAGAGATCTCAATGAAACAGAGTTTAGAAATTCAGATACACTGGAAATTTGGTTTATGACAAAGATGACTTCTGGAATCAGTGGAGAAAGTTGAGTTAATCAGGGGAAAGGACAACTAATTAATTATTTTTAAACAAAAATAATGTTGGATTTCTCTCAAGCCTTGTATAAAAAGGGAAAATGTTAATAATAAGTGAAACTGTGTGTGTGTGTGTGTGTGTGTGTGTGTGTGTGTGGCAGAGGAGCAGATGGAAATAAGGGAGTGGGATTATATTGGAACTCCATACACTTCCTGCATAATTTTTTCATGAACCTGAAATTCATTTAGAAAATAGTTAAAAATTAAAAGTTAAAAATAAAAATTAGGTGAGTTAAAATTAAAAGTCAATTAGGAGAAAATAGAGAACAAAATAAATAACAACTTTGGCAGGCAATTTTGCAATCCATGAAATAAAATAAAAATTCAAAGCAAAATAAATTTTATATATCAAAAATATAACTTAAAAATCTAATAAATTATAAACTTATCATAAATACAGGGAACAGATAAAACAGATTAAAAATCAATTCAATATTTAGGCATTCATAAAAATCAACAAAGAAAAGACTAACAATGAAGAGGAAATAAGGCATTAGAACATAAACATGAAGTTCTGAGAAAAAGAAAACATAAAATTTTTGGAAAGATACTCAACCTTACTCATTAATAAGAAACTAGAAAGTAATCAGTATAAAATCTTACTTTTCAACAATAAGTTTAGAAAAGATAAAAAACTTTGATACCTGTAACATCTACCTGACAAACTCACATATGCTATTGGCAGAAGTTATTGACAACTACTTCAGAATAACATTTTCAATATAATAATAAAATAGTGCATAAACTGTGGTCAGCAGTTCCATTGACAATACTTTGTATGTTCATACTCACAGTTATGCTTAAAACAGGCACAAGGATATTTGTGTAATTCATTATTTTAATTAGCAAAAGACTGAATCACACCTAATGCTGTATCAGTAAGATGTTTTTCATCTAACATGCAGCTTTTACTAGAAATTTCTATACTTTTATGTCATTTGTTTTCTTAGAATTTTATGGATCTCTAAATACCTGTATTAAACAAATACCTTGTTTAGATTCCTTGACAAATGCTGATTCTCATCCTCTATCAAGATCCCACTAGTCTGTTTCATCTTTCCTTATCTTATTCTACACTGTTCTGAAAACACACAGGGATTCCAAGATGGATCCACTCCTTGCACCACTTCTTTTCTGCAAAAGTCATACATAAATCATGTCTCTTCAACAGAAATGATGGGTTCTCAAGGGAAAGTTTTAATTTATCTTTATTTGTTTTTCCATCTTGTAACCTTTACTCAAATCTGAGTAAAGAAAACTTGCTCATTAGGAACGATTAATTCTTCCTAAATACAAGCTGTATCCTATGGTGCTCATCTTCATATCATTACTACATATTAAGCCTTAGGAAAAATTGTCAAAAAAATATCTTTTGAGTTCGTCCTTGCTTTTCCTGACAAACTTTATTTTCTTATGTTTGTAAGGACAAGGGAGAGATCATACCTAAACTTGGTGTAACCATCTGAAGGAGATACAGGACAACAAAGTGTCTGCAGAAAAGTACCCTTGTAGTTTCCATTGCACCTGTGATAAAGAATGAGGCAAGTTCATAAATAATGATAACAGGAGTAAGAAGTTGCAGAATTCAAACACCTCCACATCTTTTCATAGTACTTAACTCTCAAGTAAACTTGCCAGGTAAAATGTAGGGTATCCAGTTAGATTTTAATTTCAGATAAACAATAAGCAAGTATCAGCATTTCCTTTGTAGTATTTAGTATCCTCACATTTTGATTTGATAACTCTGGCAACCCAATCTTTAAGAATATGCAATATAATGAGTAGGCCCAGATTGACCTGTCTTTCCCACTCAAGGGTTTTTCCCAAGCTAGATGTCATTTGTCTTCTGGTTTTGTAGACTTCATTGAATGACCTGCTTTTTCAAAGTGACAGACCTAGGGAATAGAATCTTATCTCCTAAGCCTCTTTACTGTAAACATTTGTCACATGTAATTACATTTACTTACACAGAAAAGTATACCGACAAAGATTTAGCCTTATTATTAGGGGAGAACCGAGTGGCCGTTTCAGAAAGGAATATGGCTTTCTGAATTTTATCTTCATGGAGAACTTGTAATTAGAGATAGATATGTGGACTCGTGTGGTCAATAAAGAGCAAAGGGGAAAATGAAATTGGCTTCCTCAATCAAATGTGAGGGCTTTTCATTCATATGATAGTTTGATTTTTGACTCAGCAGATAAATGTGATAGTTGTCAATGGGTACCTCAAAAACAAACAAAACCCAGCTTCCTAGGTGCCAGTGTTTCAGAGAAGAGGGAAAAATAGCTGATGGCAACAATGTTGTGCAAATACCACCCTGTGTACACGGGCAGTTCTAGCAGCCTGGGAAAGCACTTCTCTCTGCAGCACAGTGACAAGGAGAAGGTCCACAGAGGCTTTACTAGTGAGGAGGTGCAACCTTGTGAAGAGCAAGGAGCTTTCTCAGGAAGCATGAGGCAACGAGGACCTCCATCAGATTCATATGAGGAAGCCTTGCTAAGCAAGAGGACTTGAGCAAAACCTAGTAAGACTGATGAGTGAGGCAGAGAGAAAATTATGAAGGCTCCACATGCCAGGTTGATGAATTTAAGTTTTAACCTCTATGTAAGAGAATTGTAACAGTCTAAGCAGTCACGTGCATAGAGGTTAAAAGCAGGGTCTAAGAAAGGGACCAACTAAGTCAAGATTCTGCCCTTGTCATTTAGCTGTATGAGTTTAGGAAAATTACTAAAACTTTGTGTTTCCATTTTTCATCTGTTACAGGGGATGATGATTTCTTTCTCATTGTATTTATTGTTGGAATTAATGGAGTAATAATATCTAAAGTCACCAGAATAATACCCGATAACTACTATACTATAAAGTATAAGTACTGTAAAGAACTCAAGGACTATAAGTATTAATTTTCTTACCACTTTTAATATTGTTGAAATTTAGCAATATTTAAGAGAGATGAAAATGGAGAGCCTTGGAATCAGACTCACACCCTGGCTTTACTACTTAACAGTTACCTCAAGTTATTTGTGTAATTTCTGTACCTCTGTTTACTATCCAGAAAATACATAAGAGTATATATTTCACATACCTAAATTCATTGAATATAAGTGTTTAAGTTTTTAAAAAGTGGAGTATAAAAATGCTCAAAAATGTTATTTTTAGCTATCGATAAAGAACTTATAGTCATGGCACAGTACATACAGATTTACATATTTGAAGTGCGATTCTGTAGGCTGAGGAAGGAATGGAGGCAGTAACATCACATGAAAAACAGAATGAATATTTCCGCCCAAACAGGTGTTGCTGGGGAAGAAACGAAAAGATCACCGCTTAAGAGAGAGAATAACTGTACATACTCCTGGATTAAATTGAGGGAATAGCAGAGAAGTATTTTCACATGACTTCTGAACTTCTTGGATGTGTAACTTGGTGGCTAAATTATGTCATTAGTCATGATAAGACCCTTGGGAAGAAAAGCAATTAAATTTTGAACAGGTCAACTTTTAGATTTCTATGCAATTGTTTTTATTTACCCTAGTGAATTAATTATGAAACACACATTATTCTCTGCTACAATTGTTAAGGTACATGACTTGGCTAAAGATTTTTAGGATTTTTAATATAGGAATTATAGCTTCTCTTCAAAATATGTTGCAGAATCTTGTAGTGTGTCCAGCATATATTAGATGTGCTGGCTGTCTCCTGTTTGCTTCCCCAGATACAATCTCCATTTTCTCCACCTTTCTCTGTTTCTCACAAAATGAAACTAAGGATTACAGCAATTGGCTCTCTTTTCAGTGGCTTCTGGTGAAATAATAAGCAGATTACAGGAATGAAAGAGGATGACTTTGGAATATTTGCTCTCTCAGACTTTTCTGCTGGGTTGCTGTGTGAGCTATTTGTCCAATCATTAAGCAAGCAAACAAACAAAACCAAACATTAAACAAACAAAAAATCCTACCCCGTAGCCCTCTCTGCCCATAAGTTTTGGTTACTGCTTCCTGCCTTTACTTCCTCAGGTGTACGGGTGATCACAGTCTCTTTATGTTAGCTCCAGGGTCCTGCTTTGCTCCTCCAAACTTCTCTACATCTTATTTGTACATTTGTAAATAAGCTTTTTAATTAATATTCCAGGAACTTGAGCATGTCATCCATTTCTTGTTGAAACCCTGGCTGGTAACAGGAATTGATATTGAATGTAGCTCCTAGAAAGAGATTCCCAACATGTGCTTCTGAAATTGGGTTTCTCATGCACTGGGGGAAGGCACAGCTGACCCTACTGAAAGGAATGGAAAAAAAAAATCTATAGCATGCCACAGCACCAGACTTATTCAAATTATGAATATTGGTGGTATAGGATCAAGTGCAGGTGGTGAAGAAGGCACAAGGAAGGAAAGAAAATAACATGGTTGGTATGGTCAAAACGTAATTATAAAGACTACCAAGTTCTCTACCTTCTTAGGACTGTCCTATAAGATGGACCTGATGAAAAGGAAAATTTGAAAGCAATGAATCCACAGTTGAGAACCAGGGGGTCTCCATCCTAATTCTGGAAAAGCTCATTTTTCTCTAATTATAAGAGATGGAAATGAGAATTGAATCCAAGGTCTAATTTTAAGGGTTTAAGAATTGGAGTAATAATTAAATGCTCCATTTATAAAAAAGTCTCTTCAGCTAATTTAAAGACATTCTAAGGCAGCCTAAAATTCTGAGACATGGGAAAAGGGGATTTGGGCACAGAGGGACAGGGCCATGCACAGGATTAACAATATGGATATCCTTGCATTTAGGATTTATTTAGCTATCACCCCGGAATGTTCAACTTATTATTTCAGGAGACTAGCTTAAGCTGAACTGGTGGCTAGCTATCATAAAGGAAATGTTATTTTATACTCAAGGGGTGGATACTGACTCTATCTATCATTGGATGTGAGTTCCCGACTGGTAGCACTTCATCGTGCACAGATATTCATACACATAAAAAATGCCTTTTCCTTTTCTTTTTTTTAATCACATGCAACATTGTCTCTGACCAGGAAATTCATTTTACAGCAAAGGAAGTCCACCAATGTGCTCAGGACCATGAGATTCACCAGTCTTACCATGTACCCATGACCTAGATATAGCTGATTTGATAGAATCTGATAAAGGCTTAGGTGTAACACTAGCCCTAGAACATGTGGGATTCGCTTAAACTAGAGGATAACTGATTGTGACTTCTCTCTATAGCAGAATGCAAGGTCCTAGAAACCAAGGAGTAGATATGGAAGATGATCCTCTCATTATGTGACCTTATAACCTACTTAAAAAATGTTTACTTCCCCTCTTATGGTCTTCAATTCAGTGTGTTTGGAGGTCCCAGGATCTCACAGAGGAAGGTTTTCACTATCTGACACAATTATGAATGAGATGAATTAGAAGCTGAGACTTTCCCCTAACCACCTGGAGCTTCTCACACCACTTAACCAAGAATCAGAAAAGTGCATCACTGCAGGACTGGAGAGACTGATCCAGGGTCAGAGGTGACTTGACCAATACTCCTGGTCCTTAGAGACGTGAAGTTACCCAATAAGAGTAGCGAAATCAAGGGCTCAGATCCATAGAAATAAATCTCTGAAGGACCCTACTAGGTTAAGAACCTAGCTAAGGTGCTGATTAAAGGCAAGTATTACACAGAGCAAGCAATGGAGGAAGAAGGTACTACAACTACCATGTTTATATTTTTGCAACGAGTTGACTTAATAATAACTATGTTCTGTATTTTTAATCATAAAATTTTTGCCTATTTTTCTTCCAAGATACTTCACAGGTGTGACATTGCTGATGACAGACTATGTTTCATGCAGGAAGTGTGACCAAATTAATATTACCTATTAATTACAGGATATGGTACCTTATAGGATTGAAGTTTCCCCATAGTAATTATGCAAACATATTCCACAGCTGAAGGACAAGACTAGACTGAGGACAAAACTCTTGCTAAGAGGCAAAGATTACTGAGGTGCTCATCTTACTTTGTCTATCTACATCTACTCTGCAGTTCTCCAAAGATAATTTTAAAAACAATTTTTTTAAAAGCCAAATATATATTGTACCTTTATTTTATTTATTTATATATGGTGCTTAGAATCAAACGCAGTGCCTCACACATGCTAGGCAAGTGCTCTATCATTGAACCAAAACCCCAGCCCCAAGCATTGATCTTAATATAGAAAATATTGTCCTTTGGAATATTGCTATAATGAACCCCAAATGTTTACCATGCACTTCTGGTATCCCTTCATATAAGATTTTTTACCTGGTCAACTCACTTTAAAATTATGTATGAAACACTTGAGAGTCTTTTGTGGGGAATACCACTGGTATTTTAAAACATTCTCCCAGATGATTTCATTTACTACTGAAGTTGAAAACTATCTTTTTATGGGTAATGGATATTTCTGATTTGCCCTTAAGATTTTTCAGGGCTTTTATGAGAGGGAGAGTAACAGTGTTTTTTCAACTGGGTCTTTAGAAATTAATTTAAAATTCTGTTTTTTCTAATGTTCTCTGAATATGATTATGCTTTAATTATGTGTGGAACTGCAATGTTATGAAAATACATACTTCATCTTGCAAATGAGAAGTGGTTTCATGTGTTGTTATCTCCACCTATTATATAAGTCAATGAGAATACATTCTTTCACTGTTTACCTAGTCAGAGATGGGAAAACCCAACAAAGTAAGAGCATTTACATGAACTTCAAAAGTTTTTTTTTTCCCCATCCAGCCCCTATGTATAATTTTTTAAATTAGTGCATATGGATATGTGTGTGTGTGTGTGTGTGTGTGTATGTTAAATTAACTGCTGATATATTCATATATATGGAAAGTTTGGACAATTTCATTTTACCATATCTCCCTCCTTGATCTCTTCTATTTTCATGAAATTCTACCCATTTTTCTTTTTTCTTTCTTTTTTCCCACTTATTGTGGTCTAGTTTTTCCATGTGAGAGAAAACATTTGACCCTTGAACATTCTTGGGTCTGGCTTATCTCACTTAGAATGCTATTCTCCAGTTCTATTTTTTTATCAGCAAATGCCATAATTTTATTCCTCTTTATATCTGAGTAAAACTCCATTGTGTGTGTATGTGTGTGTATATGTATGTATGTATGTATGTATATGTATAGATAGATAGATAGATAGATAGATAGATAGATATCTTTCCTAAGAATCTCTCTTTCATAGCCTCTAGTCTTACTTATTCTTGGGGGCTAACACAAGAGTATATCTTAAGTTAAATTTAACTATTATTTTTCTTTTAAATTCCCAGGAATGGCCGTGTTTTGGTTTTAACTGTTTTTGCTAGGTGTTTAAGATGAAGCAGGTCAAACTGACTTTTGTTTCTATATATTGTTAAGAGTCAGTTGAACCAACAATAAAAATTAAAAAATAAAAATTAAAAAAAAGGGTCAGTTGAGTTCTCATTGGAGTCACTTGTAGGGGAACTTGAGAACAGATTCTTAGCTTTGCAAGTGCCATTTGCACGAGGATGGATCAGCACCTCACTGACCATGTGACTTTCCTTGGAAGCATCAGAGATGTCTCCCTTTTTCAATGACCCTTCTCTTTATAGGAAGTGCACCAATTGGCTTTCTGTTCTCTGATGGTCTCATTAATCTCCCTGATTTGGATGTTATGTGGCCCAGAGTTGCAAAGCTCTTTAGAAGTTCCCTGTTGCCTGGGTTTAGACTGACTCAGAAGGCAAGAGCCAAATATTGGCTTTCTTGGCCCTTTTAACTTAAATTTAAACATCTAGTAAGTCAGTCTCACCAGTCTTAATTTGATTACTAGGTTTTAACTTTAATGTGTATAACCTTACAGTCTTTTACCCCTTTTATTAATTGGGGTCTGTACTATTATATCTGTCCTGTAGGTGATGGCTTATTATCTTATATTAACCCAGGTTGTGCATTCTTGAAGCAATACCTCTGCAAAACATTAACAGGCAACATTTAGACAGTTTATAAGAAAAATACAAAATAAAATTAACAAGAGTAAAAACAGTAGAACATCAGCTTGATATAATGTTCCTTTAAACCTTCTACCTTAAAAACTTGTATACCTTGAAAATATAAACATATTTAATATACAAAGAAGAGTAATAGCATATGACACTGATGTTTTTATATTAACCAAGTTTAGCTCTGAAAGAAAAATTTAGACTTTGTAAGATAGTACACTACTTCAAAATAACAGTTGCTATTTAAGAGTTGTAAAATCCTTAATTTTTTCAAGATTATTTATTCTAAAAAATAAAACTTAACAGACACCATGTCAGTAAATTAATGTCTTAAGAAATCTTTGCCATTTTAACACATAGATTAGACTTTGGCTTATATCAGTATATTAACATTTGACCTTAGGGGAAAACTTTTATTAGCTTTGACTGGTTGTTTCATCATAGACACACACACACACACACACACACACACACACACTTATATATAATATAAAAAATATAATATATATATATATATGATATATATATATCATATATATATATATATATTACATACAAACATATTGAAATTTGTCCTTTACTTACACATACCATCTTTATCATTTAAACTTTCTTGTTTATTTCATCTCATAGACTTTCTTACCAAGAAACACTTTCTTTTCCCTCTATTGAATATAGTTTTCATGCCTAAAACCTTCTAATTTCTCTTTCCTTCCTTTTAACCCCCTTTTTGTTCACATTCTGAAACAATCCTTGTAAATTTCTGAATTTAGGAAAATTATTCCATTTTAATAAGAAATATTTTGTTATGTACAGGACATAGTTAATCACATCTGTTTACCATTTCATGAAAACATAAAAAATGTTTAAGTATATAGAATTAAATCCGTTGGGACTTTAAACTCTTAGTAACCTTATCTTCAGTGATGACAAAGCAAATTTAATACCCCCCGCTTTTTTATTTACAAATTTATGAAAACACTGATAATGTTACCAATGGAATTCAAGGAGTTAAGAATACTTGATGGTATGTTTAACAGTTAGCATTTTCACTTTGTAAATGAATCGTATGTCTAACAAATAAATTTATGAGTAATCCCATGTCAAATATATTTTACTTATTTTTACCAAGATATCAGAGAAATGTATTGAACAGTATTAGCCATTTTTTCCTTGTTGAAGAACAGTCCTAGAACCAAGGGGTATTAGACATTTCATAGACATCAACATTTAATTAGTTCTTTGACCACCTAAAGAGACTTGTGAGTTAATTTTAAAGATATCTTTACTTTCATCTGTTTACCCAATTTAAATTGAACCTTCTTAAATCATATTAATTAAAGGTATTTGGGTTTATATTTTTTAAAATATGAACACTTATTATATATCTGCCAATTTTTACATCATGTACATAATATATGGATGCATGCACATATAGAGATTCAACATATAATGCAAGTGTGCACACATAACACAAGAGCAAAGGCCTTATAGTTTTTTGTAGGTGAATCTCCATTGCTATGTTATAGATGTTTAAAAACTCCATAGTTGAATAAAAAATAGGACTGATCAGAAAAATATTAACCTAGGTGCATAGGACCCAAATCATGAGCTCAAAAAATATGGAATTTGAGGGGAAAAAACAGAGTCCTAGAAAAAAATGACACAGCCAATAACTATTTAAGTGAAATACCGTACAATTTACTTTTTGGTTTAGTCAAGTTTGAGTTCAGGTAAAGACACTTTTTATTTATTTTCTCCCCCTTAAGCCTCAGACCAACATCCTAAAAACTTACGTTATCTCATTTAAAGTTATGGGATATTTTATGCAAAGGTTTGGGGCAAAGAAGGATATAAGAGCTTATAGCCAGGAGAGGACACTCCCTACATTTTTGCTCCTGTTCTTTCCCCACTATTGCTTCCATTTTAACTTCTTGCTTTTTCCTTTTGATCTTCTCTCTTGGAAGCTATCTCACCCAAACAACAGTGGGGCACCATGTCCCCACAAGGCAGTGGGCTAATACTGGTTAACAAAAGAACATGAAAGGAGGCAGAGGCTGTTTACCTGTTTGTACCTCCACAAATCACTGTGGAGGTACAATGCCCCCAAGCATTGTGCAGGGCCCACATGGATCAAATATTCACTTTACAAGAAATCATAGATTCATAGCTAATAACTTGTCAAAAGATCTCTAATCTCATGTTTTACTTTTATATCCCGGGCTTTTAAAAGGTGTCATAAAATTTGTAGTTGAACCCTTTTATGTGATCTAGGTAAACTACCCATTACCCTGACTGCTTACCTGTTTTGAGCTCTGAGTTTCCTTATGGCCAGGGATCCCTGAAGCAAAAGCCATCCTGATTACCCCCACATTTGAGCACTAAAAACTGAAGGGCCTACCCCTCCAGCACTGTGGGTAGCTTGAGAGTGTGGAGAAACCCCTCCAGGAATGGATTCAAAGAACTGCAACTATTTTATTGCGCAGAAAAAAATAGCTTTCATAGTGGGTATGTGCCAATTTACATATAACAGTCATGGTAGGCCAGAGATGATACACAACATATCATATTACGGGAGTCCAGACAGCAAGAGTTAAGAAACTGCCATGCAGGCTGGCCATGTACCAACAGGAGAATAACTTCCTATCAAAAGAGCAAGGAAATTGTGCTTTTCAGTATTCTGACAGCACTTTATCCCCAAACATAGCATTCTATGTTAGGACTTCTCTGCTGCACAGTGAGCAGGATAAGCATTCCTCCATGAGGGTCCAGAATCAGGCCTACCAACAGGTCACAGACTATCATAAGCTAACTTTTCCCCTCTGAACATTCTTGAATTAACACAGGAACTTTGGCGAGACACCTCATACGCAAACCACAACAGGAACTAAGATAATGATAAGATTTAGGGATTCTGAATCCACTGAAGTCTCATCCTAGAGCCATGCTCATCAGTAGATGACCTTCCTTATTATATATTTTACCAAATTTAAGTAGATATATCATACATATTTCTTAAATTTGCATTCTTCTTAATTTTTCCTTTTGTCTCCCTCTCTGCAGCTCACCTCTCTATTTCCTCCCATCTTCTCTCCCACTTCAGCCACACTTACCTACCTAAAGTCTTTTGCATTACTATCTTCTCTTATGTCTACAAAGTTAAGGTGCTTCCTCAGCCTAAAAAACTTACTCTACCGCTTTGCTCAACTGGGTTTATTATTCACTTGGCTGCAAGGCTGTTCTCAGCCATTGTTAGCTCTCTGAAGCCTTCTTTGAGTGCCTAATCTGAATTTCAGTCCTCCTATTTGTGCTTTCATAGTTCCATTTCATTTGTCTCTATGTTCTGGTATAGCATTTAAAATCAATTATGATAGCTCTTTTGTTAAGCACAAATCATATGACATGTATAAATCAGATTTGTTTTACTTATCCCAGCTTGAGGCAAGTCGTGTTGATACCTGAGCGAGGCCAAGTGTAACCACTAAGCTAAGCGCTCCACCCTCAGGTTGATGTAACCAGTCATCCCTGTGAAATTTCCCCTAGAAAGGAACTATCAGGCTAGCAGAAACACGCCCAGAGTTTGAAGCAAGAGAAGGGGCTTTGATAGTTTGTTTACCTGGTCTCTGTATGACTCTGGAACATCTTACCTTGCCTGCAGAAAAACTGCTAAAACACTGTCAAGGCATTCAGGTGACTAAACTGGACTTCTTTCTGTAGGAACAACAGAGTTGACTTCGGATTACAGTCTCAAGTAAGTGAGGGGTTTTAGTAGGGTTTAGGATCATGGTTCTCTCTTCATAATCTTCACTTATTCTATTCCTTCATCTTTTGTCTTCTTGGAGGGCTCCTGTCTTTAATTTCTATGTGCTTGACAGACCTGTAGACTAGTGAGATCTGTGAGGTCAGTAGGATATAAAGCATCGAGCAGTCTTCCTCACCTTAGGGGGAAAATGTTTCTCAAATTTTTTTAATGGATCAATTGAATGTAATTTAATCTCTTAGCAAATATTGGGCTCAATTTCTGGCGATGACTAGATAACAAGTAAACAGTATTCCTATACATGTTATTCCTTAGCCACATAATAGTGAGTCTGGTTTCCATTGTACAATATTCTTGTAACCAGAATAATTTTCCTTTAATGTAGCTAGCTGTGATTAACAGAAACAGAATCAGAAAGGAAAATCTCATGGTGAAATAAATGTTCAGGATGAGTTTTTAAAATATTATATCTGAATTTTTTTTTACTTTCTGAAATGATCCAGCACAGTAAAAAAAAATACTACATGTTCTCAAACATATATGTAATTTTAAAAAGTTGATTTCATACAAGTAGATACCAGATTAGTGGTCACTAGAGTCTAGGTAAGGAAAGTGAAATGGGAAGAAAGGAAGGTTAGATAATAGGTACAAAAATACACTTAGATAGAAGGAATAAGTTCTAGTGTTCCACAGTACTATAAGGTCACTATATTTTACAACTCATGTATTTTTCTAAAGAACTAGCAGAGAGGAGTTTGAAGGTTCCTAAAGCAAAGAAAGACTAAATGTTTAATAATAAGGAAATGTTAACTTCCCTGATTTGAGCATTACACATTGAATTATCACATTGTACCCCATAAATATATAGTTATTAGATGTAAATTTTTAAAATTTTAAAGAAAACTTAAAATATTGACACAAAATATTACATTAAAGCCTTCATAAAACTATTTTAATTCAGTTATCCTCAATAGTCAAGAATGATATGTTGAAAACACTTTGATTTTGCTTAAAATAAACACATAACAGAAGGAAGATGGGTTGAGCATTGTTTCCATGAATCATACTGAGTCAAAAATATGCATCTCTTCTTTGTGATCTGATTTATTTTGTAGCAGGTTGAATGTGATTTGTATTAACTTTATAGGAGGGGGTATTGGGTATTGAGCTCAAACACTGAGTTACATCCCAAACCCTAATTTGTGTGTGTGTGTGTATGTGTGTGTGTGTGTGTGTGTATTTTATTTAGATATGGGGTCTCTGAATTGCTTAGCACCTAGTCATTGCTGAGGCTGGTTTTTTTAAAATTTTTATTGTTGGTTGTTCAAAACATTACATAGTTCTTGACATATCATATTTCACACTTTGATTCAAGTGGGTTATGAACTCCCATTTTTACCCCGTTTACAGATTGCAGAATCACATCCGTTACACATCCACTGTTTTACATATTGCCATACTAGTGTCTGTTGTATTCTGCTGCCTTTCCTATCCTCTACTATCCCCCCTCCCCTCCCCTCCCCTCTTCTCTCTCTACCCTATCTACTGTAATTCATTTCTCCCCCTTGTTTTTTTCCCCTTTCCCCTCACTTCCTCTTGTATGTAATTTTGTATAACCCTGAGGGTCTCCTTCCAATTCCATACAATTTCCCTTCTCTCTCCCTTTCCCTCCCACCTCTCATCCCTGTTTAATGTTAATCTTCTTCTCATGCTCTTCGTCCCTACTCTGTTCTTAGTTGCTCTCCTTATATCAAAGAAGACATTTGGCATTTGTTTTTTAGGGATTGGCTAGCTTCACTTAGCATAATCTGCTCTAATGCCATCCATTTCCCTGCAAATTCCATGATTTTGTCATTTTTTAATGCAGAGTAATACTCCATTGTGTATAAATGCCACATTTTTTTTATCCACTCATCTATTGAAGGGCATCTAGGTTGGTTCCATAGTCTAGCTATTGTGAATTGTGCTGCTATGAACATCGATGTAGCAGTGTCCCTGTAGTATGCTCTTTTTAGGTCTTTAGGGAGTAGACTGAGAAGGGGAATAGCTGGGTCAAATGGTGGTTCCATTCCCAGGTTTCCAAGGAATCTCCATACTGCTTTCCAAATTGGCCACACCAAATTGCAGTCCCACCAGCAATGTACAAGTGTACCCTTTTCCCCACATCCTCGACAGCACTTGTTGTTGTTTGACTTCATAATGGCTGCCAATCTTACTGGAGTGAGATGGTATCTTAGGGTGGTTTTGATTTGCATTTCTCTGACTGCTAGAGATGGTGAGTATTTTTTCATGTACTTGTTGATTGATTGTATGTCCTCCTCTGAGAAGTGTCTGTTCAGGTCCTTGGCCCATTTGTTGATTGGGTTTTTTGTTATCTTATTGTTTAATTTTTTGAGTTCTTTGTATACTCTGGATATTAAGGCTCTATCTGAAGTGTGAGGAGTAAAGATTTGTTCCCAGGATGTAGGCTCCCTATTTACCTCTCTTATTGTTTCTCTTGCTGAGAAAAAACTTTTTAGTTTGAGTAAGTCCCATTTGTTGATTCTAGTTATTAACTCTTGTGCTATGAGTGTCCTATTGAGGAATTTGGAGCCTGACCCCACAGTATGTAGATCGGAGCCAACTTTTTCTTCTATCAGACTCAGTGTCTCTGATTTGATATCAAGCTCCTTGATCCATTTTGAGTTAACTTTTGTGCATGGCGAGAGAAAGGGATTCAGTTTCATTTTGTTGCATATGGATTTCCAGTTTTCCCAGCACCATTTGTTGAAGATGCTATCCTTCCTCCATTGCATGCTTTTGGCCCCTTTATCAAATATAAGATAGTTGTAATTTTGTGGATTGGTCTCTGTGTCCACTATTCTGTACCATTGATCCACCTGCCTGTTTTGGTACCAGCATCATGCTGTTTTTGTTACTATTGCTCTGTAGTATAGTTTGAAGTTTGGTATCGCTATACCGCCTGATTCACACTTCCTGCTTAGAGTTGTTTTTGCTATTCTGGGTCTTTTATTTTTCCATATGAATTTCATGATTGCTTTATCTATTTCTATAAGAAATGCCATTGGGATTTTGATTGGCATTGCATTAAACCTATAGAGAACTATTGGTAATATCGCCATTTTGATAATGTTAGTTCTGCCTATCCATGAACAGGGTATATTTTTCCGTCTTCTAAAATCTTCTTCTATTTCTCTCTTTAGGGTTCTGTAGTTTTCTATGTATAAGTCTTTCACCTCTTTTGTTAGGTTGATTCCCAAGTATTTTTTTTTGAGGATATTGTGAATGGGAGTGGTTGTCCTCATTTCCATTTCAGAAGATTTGTCACTGATATACAGGAATGCCTTTGATTTATGCGTGTTGATTTTATATCCTGCCACTTTGCTGAATTCATTTATTAGCTCTAATAGTTTCTTTGTAGACCCTTTTGGGTCTGCTAGGTATAGAATCATGTCACCTGCAAATAGTGATAATTTAAGTTCTTCTTTTCCTATTTTTATGCCTTTAATTTCTTTCGTCTAATTGCTCTGGCCAGAGTTTTGAGAACTATGTTGAACAGAAGTGGTGAGAGAGGGCATCCCTGTCTTGTTCCAGATTTTAGAGGGAATGCCTTCAATTTTTCTCGGTTCAGAATGATGCTAGCCTGAGGCTTAGCATAGATAGCTTTTACAACATTGAGGTATGTTCCTGTTATCCCTAGTTTTTCTAGCATTTTGAACATAAAGGGATGCTGTACTTTGTCAAATGCTTTTTCTGCATCTATCGATGATCATATGGTTCTTATCTTTAAGCCTATTGATGTGGTGAATAACATTTATTGATTTCCGTATACTGAACCAGCCTTGCATCCCAGGGATGAATCGTACTTGATCATGGTGCACAATTTTTTTGATATGTTTTTGTATCCGATTCGCCAGAATTTTATTGAGGATTTTTGCATCTAGGTTCGTTAGAGATATTGGTCTATAGTTTTCTTTCTTTGAAGTGTCTTTGTCTGGTTTAGGAATCAGGGTGATGTTGGCCTCATAGTATGAATTTGGAAGTTCTCCCTCTTTTTCTATTTCCTGAAATAGCTTGAAAAGTATTAGTATTAGTTCTTCTTTAAAGGTTTTGTAAAACTCTGCTGTATACCCATCCGGTCCTGGGCTTTTCTTAGTTGGTAGTCTTTTGATGGCTTCTTCTATTTCCTCAATTGATATTGGTCTGTTTAGGTTGTCTATATCCTCCTGACTCAATCTGGGCAGATCATATGACTTAAGAAATTTATCGATGCCTTCACTATCTTCTATTTTATTGGAGTATAAGGATTCAAAATAATTTCTGATTATCTTCTGTATTTCTGAAGTGTCTGTTGTGATATTGCCTTTTTCATCCTGTATGCTAGTAATTTGAGTTCTCTCTCTTCTTCTCTTCGTTAGCATGGCTAAGGGTCTGTCAATCTTATTTATTTTTTCAAAGAACCAACTTTTAGTTTTGTCAATTTTTTCAATTGTTTTTTTTGTTGTTGTTGGATTTCATTGATTTCAGCTCTGATTTTAATTATGTCTTGCCTTCTATTTCTTTTGCTGTTGTTTTGCTCTTCTTTTTCTAGGATTTTGAGATGAAGTGTGAGATCATTTATTTGTTGTTTTTTTTCTTTTTTTAAGGAATGAACTCCAAGCAATGAATTTTCCTCTTAGAACTGCTTTCATTGTGTCCCATAGATTCCGATATGTTGTGTCTGTGTTTTCATTTATCTCTAAGATTTTTTTTAATTTCCTCCTTGATGTCTTCTATAACCCATTGATCATTCAGTAACCTATTGTTCATTCTCCAAGTGATGCATGATTTTTCCTTCCTTCTTTTATCGTTGATTTCCAGTTTCATTCCATTATGATCAGATAAGATGCATGGTGTTATCTTGAGGCTGGCTTTTATTTTTTTTTTTTTTTTTTTTTTACAATAGTAGTAAAATGATCAGTATTAAGAAATTAAGACTGATATAATTCAGT